AATGTTATAACATTTCTGGGAAATTCTCCTTCTTGGGAGCAATGAAGTGAATTCTATTGTTTCAGTCAAGTTTCAGTCATTGTTTCAGTCAATTTATAGGAACATAATGACTTCTCACTCTGAAGAATGCAAATCACTAGCCATTCTGGAATAGACACCTAATCATTCTCTTTTTCATTTTTCTCATTTTTGAATTCAGAGGGCTTTATTTAGCTGTGATATTTTATTACAAAGACAACATGTTAGTAACCAATGAAGATCACATACCAATAGTGGAAATTGATGATTCTCACGCCAGTTCTATTATGCAAGATTTTCTCTGGTTCACAAAGGTAAGTAGCAACATGCCATTTTCTCACTTGATTGAACTCCCCAATACAGGAGGGTATTTCTGGGCTGATCCTTGCACTCTGTTTTTCTTTATACACAAACAGCTGGTCCCCTTCTTAGCCACATGCATGCCTGCGTTGTGTGAGGAAACATTGTTGTGAGCCCTGCCGGATGTAGGGCAGAGGTAAGGAATCTGTGACCCTCCAGGTGCTGGACTCCAGATCCCATCAGCCCCAACCATCATGACCAGTAGTCATGTAGGGCCACATGTTGAGCAATCCCTGTACAAAATCTGGATGGCCAAGCATGCCTAGGAAATCCAGGAGGGGTGGGGGAGGCAGCAAAAAGGAGAATCAGAAGGCTTGCCAGGGAAGAGCCAGTAAGTCAGTTTTCCAGGGGTGCATTTTAAGATGAAATCTGGTAGCCAGCTAAACCAAGTACTTGTTAAATCTAGATGGGCAAAGGCCAAAGACTGATGAAGGATTAGAAGGCTTATAAGGTATATGGCTACAGATCACAGTAGACATCAGAGAGACAGGCCCATGTTTTAAAATCTGAATGTGTCCCAACTGAATGGAAAGCATGCAATAACATCCATTTTATAGAGCAAAGAAAACATGCAGACAAAGTGGAGGGATGGAATCCTTCCCCCTATCCAGAACATATCTCTTTGCAGTCCTGCATTCTAGGCACCTTTCTCTCATCTGAGATTGCAGCCTGTTTGCAAAAAAAACACATCTCAGGTAGTAGATTGCAAGGGCATGCTCACCCAGCATAGTCTTAAATTCCTCCTTTTTGTGCAGTCCAATCAGTTCTGCCTTTAAATCTGTGAATCCAGTGATGTTGCATCTCATTTAGTCCTAAGGGCATGTAAGAAAAAACACTACAGTGCAAAGGAGGAGAATTTGAGGGTGCTGTGCTGAGTAGCAGAGGGAGACATTAAACCACTGAGGATGATTCACTCACTGACATGATATACCTGTCTGTCAAGAAAGGGTGGGTGCTGCAAATCTTGTTCCAGTTGGAGGCTAACCTGAAGGCAGGTGGGAAGCAAATCCATCCTCTGTTAGTATTATAACATATAGCATGTATCTAGCTAGGAACAATTTCCACAAGGTTTCCTAATGTATCTATAATGGACTCTTTGTGTCAGCACTACTTTCTTATAACTATTTCTAGTTGTTGTTGTTGTTGTTATTATTATTATTATTATTATTATTAAAATTTGTATGCTACCTGACTCAGTGACTCTGGGTGGCTCACAAGTAAAAAGATTTTTAAAAAAATACCATAAGAGACAAAAATAAAAGAATAAAGACAGCAAAGCTGACAAGACCCAGACAGGAACAAGGAGCCAAGTCTTCAAGGCTCTTAGAAACAGCAGCAGGGTGGAGGCCATTTGGATCTGGGGGGAGACCTCATTTGAGAGGGCAGGTGCTGCCACAGAGAAGGTGGGCTTCAGGGGTCCCAACAGGTGGCATTGTTTAACTGAAGGAACCCAGAGTGCACTAGCCCTGCCAGATTGAATTAACCAGGAAGATATTATGGGAGATACACGTCCCTCAAGTAACCAGGCCTTATGCCATGAAACACTTTATAGGTAACAGCCAGTTCCATGAATTGCACTTGGAAGCAAATGGGTAACTAGTGCAGCTCACAAAACAGAGGTGTTGTATGGGCATACCAAGGCATACCCATCACTGCCCACACTCTGCACTCTGGACCAGTTGAAGCTTCTGGGTGGTCTCCAAGGACAGCCCCACATAGAGTATGTTGCAGTACTCAGGCCGTGAGGTGACCAGGGCATGAATTACTCTCTGAAGAGCCTTCTGACCTAGGAAAGGGCGCAACCAACATGCTAGCTGAAGCTGTACAAAGGCCCTCCTGGCCACAGCTGCTCATTGAGTGGTAGCTGTGAGTCCAGGAAGACCCCCACATTGTGCACCTCTCTTGAACAAGGAAGTGCAACCCCATCCAAGCTCACAGGTGGAATATCCCCAAATCCTGGGGGGGGGGGGGGGAAATGGGAAGATCAGAGACTGGACAATAGTTATAAAAAAAATGTTGGGTTAAAGAACAGCCTGTTGAAGATGCACCACCACCTCTTTCAGGGCAGGAGGTATGACCCCCTCTGTCAAAGAAGTCAACACCACAGCATGGATCCAACTGCAGATTACCTCCTTGGCTGCTTTTATGACCAGGAGGAACCCAGATCCAATACACACATGGCTGAGCTAATAGCACAGAGGACCCTATCCACTTCCTCAGGAGTCACCAGCTGAAACTCATTGCAGATCATACCAAATCTTGTTTTATTTGTTGCCCTTATAAGCCAGTTTTAACTGATCCAGGATTTAAATAAATTCAGGGAAGTCCCTTCCTTCCCACTACTAATTTTTAAGGGTACAAAATGGGTCTTGGATTGCTTAAAGTACTAATGCTGATAAGGTTGGCACTGGAATTAAATGAAGTGTCCAAGATTGGAAGGAAAGTTCCTTAAGAATGGTTGGGATGTTTAATAAAAGTCAGAGGAGGCAGACACAGATGTGCATCCTCCTCTCACCCCATATTGCCTTTGAGCCCAGACTGATTATTTTTATAGAATGGCACACAAGATGTATTAGGAGAGATAAATGCTGTTTATGCTGATTAGATGCAACACGTCTCTGCTCATTTAATAACTGCTGTCAACACACTGCCACCCACAGAATCATGGAATGAACAGCAGCTACTTTTTGGGAAGATAACATTTGTTCATTCATGCATTCATTCATTCATTCATTCATCCTTCCTTCCTTCCTTTGTCTCCCCACCCCCCACCCACCCCACGCCAATTGTGCTATATATTTTGCAGCTGTCTTGTATGTGGGATGATATCAGATGGCTGAGGCAGAACATGTCTGTCTCCATGTCCTCCTCCACAGCGCTTCAAGCCAGGCAGAAAATGCTCTCTGCAGCAGCCCAGTTACAGGTTAGTGGTACCGCACACTTTCCATAGCAGATTTCAGCAAGTGCATGGCCTCCAAGGGGGAGAGCTGCCAGCTGTCCCCTGCTTCAGCACTTCCTTCTGGCATGTCTCAAGGGGAGAATTATCCACTGTGAAGCAGGCCAGCAGCAGCATGGTCTGATAGCCCAGCCAGAGCTTACAGGCCATCAATAAACCTGCAAAATAGGAAGAAATCAGTGAGAGCGGAATTAAATGTGACACAGTAAATAAATAGTAGCTTGCCAGAAGGATAATCTGAGAAAGCAAATAACCTGCTCAGTCACATAACTGGTGGAGACGCTTGATTATTGTGCAGGCAGTGTTCTAGGCAGTAAAACCGGACCAGCATCAAACAAGAAAGCATCCCAGATAATTAATTAGGTGATGGGATAATGATCCCTGGGGCACTGCTCACTCTTCTTGGATGGACACCTTCTAGTGTGATTTCAAACAAGATACCTTCTCTCCCCCAATATGCCTCCAAGCACTTTGACAAAACTCAGAGAGTTGAGCCTCAAGGATCTTTGTGGAACTTCACCATTCATAACTACAACAGCCTTCTCCAACATGCGACTCTCCAATTTTTTCTGAAATCACAACCCCTGAAATTCTCACCAGCTCAGCTGAAAGGAAATTTGGAAATTGCAACTTCAACTTACCTGAGGGCAACAGATTGGAAAAGGCTGACTGTGTTCACCAAACTCAGAAGTGTTTGCCCTGTTCCAGTGGCTCCTAAGTGTTTTGAAGGTGGGGGGAAGGGGAGTAAAAATACTTGCTCTATTTGATAGTGGTCATCTTGGCATAGTGAGAGCCAGCATTAGATAGGATAAGCAGTATTATGGGAGAATGTGTTTCTTTTCCCAAAGTTCAACAGTCCATAAAAATAAATGCTTTGTTTGGCAGAGTGTTACTGTTCAGATTCTTCCTCCATATGAGAATCATAGTACCGTAGAATGTAAAGGTTGGAATGGACCTTGGAGGATACAGTCTGCTACAGTATTCCCAATAGAGCACTGGCTCACTTTCTTTAAACACCAGACAGAAAGTCCCACCATGTCCCAAGGCAGTCAGTTGCATTCAACTTTTCCTGCTGGCCAAAATCTGTTTCTTTCTCATTTAAGCCAACTTTTTTTTTCCCTGTCTTCTGGAACAACTCTGAACAATTCTGCCCTGATTTCTCCAGGACAGCCTTTCAGATTCTTGGAAACTGCTATCATGTCTTCCCAGCTCTTCTCTCCTTAAAGGGAATCATAGCCAGTGCCTCTAACCATTTCACATGTTTTTTCCTTGCATACCCCTTAGACCTTGGTTGCTGTCCTGTGGACTCAGTCCAGTTGCTTAATAACTTTCCTAAAATGCAGTGCCCAGAATTGAATGCAATATTCTAGGGGTGGTCTGACCCCAGGAGTATGGTTGGATGGTTTTTCTTTACTCTGTCCTCCTTTCCAGTCTAATACTATTGTATGAATGTCAACTTGCCTAATGCAGGGCATAGGGGGGTCATGGAGCTGATCAGCCACAAGCGATGTACAGGAAGCAGGGTAGTTGTACCCTGAACCTCAGCCTGGGACAGGTCAGGCAAGGGTTTGGCCTTCACAATTTTGGCCTGACCAAATAAAAGAACAGCAGTATTACAAAATCAGTTAGACCCGAAATGAACAATAGTCAGCCAAAGAATGCTATTTCTATTTCCTATAACACAAACAAGACTTGCTCGTTGATTTAAACAGCGAGCATGCTTTATTAATGTGTAGGTGGCGACACTTCCTCGTTACTTTTACCCTGCCTCGTCTTTGCCTCATCCACCTACTCCAACTACAGAGGAGCTGCGCTGGTGATAAGTTTGATCACTTATTCCTGCACAGCTTAGGGATTTGCTCATTTTTCTTGCCTCCACTAGTAGCTGCCAGAGATGTGGAGCAGCCGATGGGGGGAAGCACACAGTGGCCTTGACCACATTGCCCAGAAGCAGAAGAATGTAGCACTACAGTGGTACCTCGGTTCACGAACTTAATTCATTCCACGATTCTGGTCGCCAACCGAATCAAATTTCCCCATAAGGTTAATCTATTCTGACCCCTACGAACGTGGTCGCCAACCGAATTGGTCGCCAACCGAATCAAATTTCCCCATAAGGTTAATCTATTCTGACCCCTACGAACGTGGTCGCCAACCGAATTGGTCGCCAACCGAATCAAATTTCCCCATAAGGTTAATCTATTCT